CGACGACCTCCCGAGAGGTTAATGTGAACAGACTTGTCGAAACTAAAGGGGGAGGGATTGTGGTAACCTCAACTCTTGCATTATTCATTGTTCGTCATGTCACGTGCATAGTCACTTCCTGTGCATATATAAGTGTATGTCTCTACCGTCCGTGGGCAGATGATTGAGTGTGACCTGTTCAGTAGTTGTTGTGTGTGGCCGCGGTCCCTTGTCACGAACCGTTCAGTTAGGCTAGCACATAACAACCAACGAGGGGCAAACTTGGATACAAGTGCATCAGATGCGAGTAGCACCCTGTCCACCAGAGCTACCAGCAGGTTTCTTCTGGTATGGTTCCAGACGCTCAAGTCCCGGATGTCCGCCTAAGTGGGTCGACCAGCTACTCAGTGGAGAGCTCTTTGCAGAACCGGATGCAGTTACCGTCACTGAGGATGACAACTCTCTACAAGGTCTAGAGCAAAATGAAGATTCAACTACCGATCCAACTGCCGATTCTGTGAGGAAGCACACAAATTACAGCCTGCGCAAGAAGAGACCACCTCCGAAGAAACTGATGACTGTGAACTCGAGGACGAGTTCCATCTAGGGAGGGGGTGATGTAACGCTGTAGCTCACTCATTGCTGACTCATCATTATAATTATTGTGCGCATGCGTATATCTGTTAGAGTTATGTAATCATGAGTTAGTCTAGAGTGCTACGTGCCAGCAAAAGATTGTTTTTCAACAAAATCCATTCCTACGTCGCGCAAGACGTTACAAAGGGAATAATCGGAGTAAAAAAGGGAATAATAGGGGGAAATCGCAAGCAGTGCAGAATAGAATAATAGGTAAATTTTGAAGCACATTAGGCCTAAGCCTAGTCAGTTTCTTCTCTTTCCTTGTTGAACTGCCTCATCCAGAGATCCATGTCCGACACCGGACGCAAGCCGTGGTCCAAGAGAGACGACGCAAGCAGGAGAGTGCTGCACGATTGCGTGAAAAGAAGCGGATGCCATTGCAGCAGCGGTCTCCTTCCCACTCTCCTCCGTCTCCGCCACCACTCCCCGCCGTCTCCCTCCAACCCCCTCTCGCGAGGATCGAGCGTCCCTCTCCTCCGTCTCCGCCACCACTCCCCGCCGTCTCCCTCCAACCCCCTCTCGCGAGGATCGAGCGTCCCTCTCCTCCGTCTCCGCCACCACTCCCCGCCGTCTCCCTCCAACCCCCTCTCGCGAGGATCGAGCGTCCCTCTCCTCCGTCTCCGCCACCACTCCCCGCCGTCTCCCTCCAACCCCCTCTCGCGAGGATCGAGCGTCCCTCTCCTCCGTCTCCGCCACAACTCTCCCGCCGTCTCCCTCCAACCCCCTCCATCAACTCCAGGCCCTAGCGGACAATCGTCCATCTCCCCTCAATCTCTTGCCTGGAGAAGGAAGATAAGTGCTAGGCAAAGAGCAGAGTACATGCGTCAGTGCAAGGAACTGCAACGTGACCCTCCTGCTGAGCCTTCTGGGGACTCTGACGAAGAAGACCCTGAGCAGAGCAGTGACGATGAGTTCGATGCCCAGGAAACACGGGACGATTGGATGTTGACACTCCGTCTAGAACAGAGAAAGATGCTCTCTGTGACTCTGATGGAGAGCTTCAAGAGTCGCCAGAAAATGAACGTAAAGGAGGCAGCGACAGAGGCTGGTTCTATTGTTGGTTTCAGTGAGAAGTCAATACGAAAGTACCGAAATGATTTCTTCGCCAACAAAGGAACTGTTACTCCACACAAGCAAGGCAAGTACGAAAGGCACTGCGTGTACCATGATGAGACGCTGAACCTCAAGGCGGCCGAGTGGGTCAGAGAAAACGCCTTCATGAAAGGCAGGCCGAACATGACGGCACAGACCTTCTGCGACTGGATAAAGAACAGCTTTCTTGTGTCCAGTCACCTCTCCCCTTTCTTCCCAAGGGAAATATCGCTACGTACAGCTGTTCGTTGGCTCCACCACTTAGGCTTCAAGCCTGTCAGCCATAAAAAGGGGGGTTTATATCAATGGCCACGAGCGAGAAGACGTCGTGTGATATCGAAAGAAGTTGCTCAAAACACTGCACGACCTCCGCAGTTCTCACAAGCCGCTCCCACCCTGCAGCGATGACCCCCCCAGAACACGTCTGGAGGAAGATGAGGAGAAGAAAGAACTTGTCCTCATCTTCCACGATGAATCAATCTTCAACACCAACAAGGGGAAAACTTGGATGTGGGGGGAGAGTGAACGGCCAGCCATTCTCCCCAAGACCAAGGGCAGTGGAATCATGGTCAGCGATTATGTTGAAGAGTATGGTGGGTACTTAAAGCTCTCACCCGATGACCTCGACCACGCCAAATCAAAGTACCCCAACATTGAGCCTGCTGCTCGGCGTCTGCTGGAGTATGGAGCAGAAAAGGAGGCCAACGAACAGCTGTACGTAGCAATATTTCCCATTGGACTAGCGATCGTTTCATGGGGCAGATCAGGAATGCAGCCAACATTGCTGATGTCAAGATGACCTTGCTCTCCAATCGAGCAAAATTCTCGTAAAGGATGGGGGTCCCCTGAGAGTGAGGGACACTGTCTGGGGGGGGGACCACAGTCCATGGTGAATGACGACGGATCGGCGAAAGGCCCTCGCACCATTCTACACGAACGCGGGAAAAAAACACAGTTACCATGAAAGCCGACGACATGCGGACTGTGTTATCGTATCACGAAGACTTCGCGACGGAAGACACAATTGTCGAGAACTATTATTTTGAAGAATCGGGGGCATAAAGTTTATTTATTATCGAAATTCCACTGTGAACTGAACCCGATTGAACGTGTGTGGGCTCAAGCCAAAGTGTATTGCCGAGCTTACACAAACTTCACCCTTATCAGACTGCAGCAAATTATGCATCCCACACTCGATTCCGTTACCGTAGACAACATCTGGAAGTTTGCAAGGAAAGCACAAGATTATGAGCAAGCCTACAGAGAAGGCCACAAGGCTGGAAAAGCTGTGGAAGATGCGGTTAAGGTGTATAAGTCACACCGAAGAGAATTTTCAGAAAACATTTAAGCCAGATCGGACTTCAACGTGTTATATCAGCTATGCTGCGAACATTTTCCAAGTTTTTTCTTGGTTGTTTTGTACACCATGCATTTTACTTCCTATATGAGCAATACTGTGAATTCCACAATGCTTACGTGAGTACCACACCTTAGGAAATGCTAAAATTATTTTTTGCTCCAATTGAGAGTACATTTCCAGGAAACGGCCTTGACCAAAGCCTAGCCTCGTCCCCAGGCCCCACCCGCGAGGAGAGGGCCTGGTATCCACTGCTTGCGCATGCAGCGGTATTTTCAACGTGGGTGTAGCGCAACTACGTCAAAACCAAATTCGATAAAAGGAAATGACGTAAGAATAAGGATCCCATACTACTCTAGCTCGTAAACAACACGTGGAGTATATATGCTGGCTCCTGTGTGTGTCGCTTGTGCCGATCAGCTACGACCGCCAGCAATTCAGTGTTCCTATTCGGAAAGAGAGGCACTGTGCGCAATTGGGGTCTGAGAATAAGCACTCTCCTGGACATTGCTTTACCAACTATGAGTGGAGACACTACTAAAACAAGGCTCGACTTGGCATCGATCCTGCTCAGCTTGTGGTCCATCACGAACGGCAAAACCTCGTAGCAGAGAGATTTGCCAAACCCGGTGGGCAGCAACACAAAGACATCTCCACCTCGGTACATTGAGTGTATAGCTTTTCTTTGCTCGGGCTTTGGCGTGATGCTTGGAGTTCCAAGCTGAAGCAGGGCGTATTGAAGAGTGCGATCGAACTCGCCATTGTCGGCGCTACCGCTGTATTTGGCCATTGCTAGCTACTGGACTGACCCCACCCACTCTCATCAGGTCATTAGGTGACGTTAGCATCACACGAAAATATACGGAAAATACACGGTTTATCGACATTCCGATAAAATACCGGCATGCGCAAGCAGTGGACACCAGGCCCTCTCCTCGCGGGTGGGGCCTGGGGACGAGGCTAACCAAAGTCTGCCTTTTGGAGTGCTAATGGCGTGTAAAATAGTTGGGGGAATTCCCCGAAAGGTTTGGGAGCTATGCTGTTCTAAGTGTATGTGAAGTACAAGAGCAAGTGGCCATTGTTCTCGTTGCCATGGCAACATAATTGAATTAAAACTACGTCATAACTTTCTACCAGTCGTTCAAATAGCATAGCCTGAACTCACACTATGTTTGAGATATATATAATATTTTTAATATTATGTGAATTGGGGAAAGTCATGCTGGCAGGCACTATACGATACGCGCAGACGTATTAAAGCCAGTTTCAAAAATGGGTGTGGCCACGTTTTGAGTATTACGTATTCGTTGACCTTTGCCATGCAGGGGCTACACCCATTTTTTTCCGAATTGGCTCTAATACGCCTGCATGTACCGTAGGAGGAAGAGAAAGCCACTGCGCATAATGGAGACGGACCGTTCGCTCCTGGTGAAGTCGCGCACTGGTTTTCTCTCCCATAGAGATTGTATGGAGGAGGAATATGCTAATGAGCTTGTAAAACAAGGAGTGAAAAATCCGAGAAATATACCAAAATTGACTATAATTCACTAGCGTTATAGAAATGAAAGCACTAAAGTGCAAACCCTCGGCGAACTGCGCATGCGCGATACCACTAAAATTGATGGGCTAGGCTATTTTTATGACTACCCGTGGTCTCCCGCTAGTAGCTCGCGTAGAGTCGGACACGGGCTAGCTACAGTAGTAGATAGCATGCGGGAGGCGATACATATCCTTCGTTGTGACTTCTTGTGCCTTCAAGATATGCAGAGCGAGCGGACGTGGTCGAGGTAAGCCGGTGCTAATTTGCATATTGGCTTGTTCACTTGCTTTCACGCCATAACTTTTGAACGCAGCAGTTATACAAAAATCACGTTTTTAAAAATGAAACCAGTGTAGCGATGAACCGTTGGTATTGCTGTTTTGTTGTCTAGTTGCGCGTATTCGCATAAAACATGGTACAGACAGACAGACATACTTACAAACCAATTCAGTACTTATAACCCTCGCTGCGAATGCGCCGAGGGTTAAAAATATCGACGCCCACACAATTAGGGTGAATTTTAATTAAAGTGCAAATACCAGTAAGCATATATTGATACATGTAGATTGATGCTACTAGAGATGCTCCTCACCTCCATACTTGCTCTGAGCCACATTCTGATCTCCCAACCCGAGTTGATGTACAGGCTGAGCAGAGAGCTGCTGGAGGTGGCGGTAAAGCTCCCTCCCGGCAGTGTTATAGTGCTGTGTGTACAGAGAGTTCCCCAGACCAAACACTGCGTAGTGCATTCCCTTCAGGAGAGACTTGTGGACACGGAAGTCGGCAGCAGTGTCGGCCAGCCAGCGGGTGAACCAGGCAGCAGAGTCTGGTGGTCCGCCGTCAGTGTAGGTGGAGAGGAGGAACACACATATCCCTCCTTCTCCTCCTGCACACTGCAGTTAGAGAACCACACTTAAGACATAAATCAGTGAAATGTGCTATTGAATAACAAAGTTTTATTATAGAACACAAGAGATATATGTGTACAAAGCAGTCCATAGTTAATATACTGCTGTACCTGTTGAGTAAGACACTGCTCAGGATCAACTGACGAGAGATCAGTAACTGATGCTCTTAGTCCGAGAGATGTCACATCCTTAAACACCTGCTCTGCTAGTACCTAAAGAAAGGATGTTCGTATGTATAACAAGCACCACTACCATGTAGTCCACTTACTTTGGCAGTACCAGTCTGAGTACCATAGAAGATGGAGAGAGAGTGCGGGGTGGACTGCGTCTGTTTGTTCACGTCCTCACTTTGTTTCAATTCACAAACACCAATACCAGCGTCACTTTTCACCTGTTTCTCCTACAACACAAACACGCACCTTTTGATTGATGCGATGGAGTGTACGTATGTGAAAACTACAAGAGCTCACTAGGCTTCTAACAACTTTAGAGACATGGTCATTTTTTTCGAGAGTTCAACGTTACAAGTACGTCACTTTTTCGCTGCTGGACTCCACGCGAGTTGTGTAGCTGCCGCTCTGGCTCGCTTCTCTCCCGCTATACCCAGCGCTCTCGAATGCAGCCTGTTGCAGTAGAAAGAAAGCTGAAAGTCACATACTGTTCCTGTCTACGGGAGCCTACGGGTCGGGAAGCAGTTTTTAGCTAGTTTTCAGACAGCGTATAATTATACTAGAGCAGTTTATGGCCATTCTAGCCTGAAAACACTCCCTCTGGATAAAGAAACAGCAGCACACAAAGAGTGTGAAAGCCCCCTAATTGCATACACGCTGCCAATTTCCTACTATCGTATAACTACCATATACCCATTGTGGTTTATGCAAATAAGTTGACATACAGCTAAAGTATGGGGAAATCGTATGGCCTCTTTATGGTAATAACTACCCGTAAACTCAGCAGGAAGCGCTCACTACGCGTGTACGTTGTTTGGACTAGCTGGAATTCCTTTGATCTTACTCTCAGTCATCATACAAATGATAATACTCACACTTATTTTTTAGCCCCTGTGTGATTCCACAAACCTGATGAGCTCCATTCTAGAAGATGGTGACCAAGCCATCTGTGATACTGTGTCTGACACCCTCTGTTCACTGCAGTCATCACTGTTGGTTGCTCAGGGCCAAGTTGAGGGTAAGTCGAAGTCTTAGTAGAGATTATAGCTCATGCAAAACTAAACTAATGCATATAAACTCTCTTTCTGATCTGATTCACCACATCTAGTGAGAAGTGAGATGATCGACGAATTGGGTTATGAAGAGCACCATGCGGCTCAGGCTAACAATAATATATTGTCAAGTAGCCTCGCAGAATCAGGAGGATATTCTTGATATATCACTTTCTCCTATTTCCAAAACACCAACTTCTGCTTTGCATGCTGCACATGTTGAGGAAATTGATGTGGCAGTAAAAGATGACAAACCAAGGAAAAGGAAAATGACATTTGCTGCAGTGAAACATGCTAAGCGTCGGCAAATTAATAGGCTCAACACATAAAGGAAGGTTTGTGGTTGTTTATTATACCTTTATATATTCCTTTCTCATGACTTGCAGAATGCATTGATTTGACATCAACTGTTAATGCTGTTAAGCCAATTGCATACTGGCTTTAAGGAGCTTCAGTTATATGAAGCAGACAAGCAGTCTCTTAGTCATGGAAAGTGGCTAACAGACAATATCATAGATGCAGCTCAGGCTTTGCTAAGGAATGCATACCCCTACATTGGAGGGTTAGAGTCAGTATCACTGGGCCAAACTCTTGCATTTACTATTCAAAGTGGAGAGTTTGTGCAAATCCTGAATGTGTCCAATAATCATTGGGTCACTATTTCAAATATTGGATGCAAGCCTGGAACGGTCGATGTTTTTGACAGCATTCCCAAGGAAGCAACGAAGGAGCAAATCGCAGCCATACTATTCAGTGAGAAAAACGATATCCAACTCCAGTTTAAGCAAGTGCAAGTGCAGTATGGAAATTCCGACTGTGGGGTTTTCGCTGTTGCCTTCGCAACTGCCCTATGTTCAGGGAAGGACCCTACTGAGATAAACTTCGTACAACACCAGCTACGGACCCATCTCAAGAACTGCCTACAAGAGAACAATCTCACAGATTTTCCTCAGACACAAAGAAAGAGAACAAAAGCAAAGAGGGCGAGAACTGAACATTTTAACATCTACTGTGTTTGCCGGCAACCGGAGGGTGGAAAAATGATTCAGTGTAATACCTGCAGTGAATGGTTTCACAATTTGTGTGTTAGAGCAAATAGCCTTGTGTGGATTCCGAATGGTTTTGTAATAAATGTTAAGAAAAAAAAATTTCGTCTATCCTAGCTAAGCACACGAGCAGCGTTTACGGCGCAGAAAGAAGGGGCGGGGCAGATCGACGACCAATTGCTGGTTGATAGCAGTGAGCCAGTGTACTATTATAGCTACAGCAGCGAGGGCTTATAGGCTACTTATTGTACCAAAGAAACAAAGTAAGAAAGTGTAGGCTAGGGGGACCATCGGCGGCAGGGGGGGACCATCCGCGGTGCCGCGGACGGTCCTAGGGGGATCGATTTTTCTGCTGTGGACGGTCCGGGGGGACCAATTTTTCTTCCGCGGAAGTTCCGGGGGACCGCTTTCGGGGGGGACCAATTTTCGTGTGACAGTCCAAAGGTCGCCCTTGCTACACGTGGTCACAAATATAACTACATAGCTATCTTACCTTGTCCTTGCTAATGTTTGTCGGTCTATAGAAAACCCATAAAAAAGAGAGCAGTGCCACTACAGCAGACAAGAGTGCCACGTAAGGATAGCTCCATATGGCGCTGAGGAAAAGACTCTCCGACCACACCACCATTTTCCAGTTACATCATCGGCATCTGACGGGGAGAAAAGGTCAGGGTTGTTAGTCCGCGATAAAGGTCACACTTTCAGTCACACTAAGACGAGGGCAAAGATGACCGACATGGAGGACGATTGCACATTTCAAAACCTTCCCAACTTCAGGCAGGCTGGAGGCAAGGGCCTGGTCACGTCCAGCGGTCAGCGAGTCAAGGACGGCCTCATCTACCGCTCGTCTCGCACCGATTTCCTCACGGAGGACGAAACGACCCTCTTCAACCGCCTCGGCATCAAAGCTATCATCGACCTACGCCGAAAGTCGGAGTATGAACGCTCAGACGGAGAAAAGCTCTTGGATAGCGCCTACCCTCCTTGTGTGATAGAGAGAGGCAGGTTAGCAGAGCTCAGGCCCTCGATGCGCTGGGGAAGCCAGCTGAAGAAACGTCAACAGAAGTCTCAGAGCAGCCCCGAGTCTTCGAAGACCGGTCCTTGTTTCAAGGGGAAGCGCTACTTGGTCAACATGCTCACCATGGACCTCATCTGGGCCATCTTCACAAAGGTCAACTTCTTTGTTCGCTACCTGTCGCTCATGTTGGTGGCAGTGGACTGGCTCTTTGGCTGCCACTACTTTGTCAAGTTCTTCTACTGGGCCGTGATCAATCGACAGACTATGGCCTCGCAGTATGTGGAGATTCTGGAGTTCACCAAGAGAGCCGTGGTGGACATTCTGCGTGTGGTGACGGAGGAAGAGAACGTGCCGGTCCTGATCCACTGTGCCCACGGGAAGGACCGCACCGGGCTGATTGTGGCTCTCATTCTCAGCTGTCTGGGGGTGGATGATGACATCATTGCTGAGGATTATGCGGTAAGCATTTCTAAATTTAGTACAGTACATAATGCGAAAGGTCATGCCTGCCTTAAATGGTAGTTGCATTTTAGTTGCTCATCAGTGGAGTGAGGGATGCTTATTATTCGGTGCCTTCCTTGCTATCCAAGTTTCTCCCTAGTACTTGGGTGAATTGTGCAGAGCCTTGGCCTCGATCCCAGGCCTTCTCCCTCCCTCTTCCTCCTGCTCCTCCTCCCTCGCAAATTATGACCTTTGAACAATGCACAAAGTTACGGAGGGTGAAGACCTTTGACTGTGACCTTTGAACCATGCATAAAGTTAAGGAGGGAGAAGTCCTGAAAGATTCGTCACACCCATAAGCAATACAATTACGTGTGACGAATAGTAAGGTTTGTGCCACGCATCACGTGAGAAATCTTCCAGGCCTTCTCCCTCCTTAACTTTGCACAGGGTTCAAAGGTAACGCGTACATATAATTTGCGAGGAGGAAAGATAAGTCCTGGGATCGAGGCTAGCTAGTCACCGTCAGCTTTCCCTTCAACTTAATTCATGCTCCACCCGATCAAGATATTAGCTCACATGGGACCACCTTTCACCGTTTACACAAGCCACTGCTGTTGTGCTGCCTTGTAACTGCCACTGCCGCACTCTATCCACTTCTACCACTCTCCTGTGAGCAGACATTTTGCAAGACATACAGCTATCTTTTTTAATGCATGTGTATTGTTTTTTAAGGAGCCTCTCAACATAACTCTTTCTGGTTGCCCATTACCATTTTTGACATTTTTTCAACCTTCGATTTCATGAAATGGTGCATTGTTTTGGCATAACTTCTCAACAACTCTTTTGGATTGCCACTACTTTTGGTACGCAGATTGCCCATGTCCATGTAATAATGTCAGAAAAAAATAGCGCCAAAAACTACTACACTTCATGTTGAGTAGTGTTGACTATAGTGATGAAGATTAGCCACTTTCAAGTGCTTCCATTAAACCCTCAGCTACACAGCAAGATAGTAAATTGACAACGGATAGCCCAGCCTATCATTTAGCGGTACTGCACATGTGTGTAGGTTCGATTTCTAGTGCACAGAGGGTTTTTGCACTTTAGTGTGATCTCAGAAATACTCTACTAAAGCTTAGTTCTAGAGTTGCATGGCATAATTTTACCTCGAAGAGCGCCTAAGACGCCTCCAAAGGCGAACCTCCTCGCCCTGGATTACTTTACAACTCTGAAAGGTATATACACCAATGTAGTATAGCTTTGTATAGTGAAGATACTGGGAAAGAGAGCTAAAGCTTCATGTGTAGCTGCGTAGCCACATCTATGTACTATAGTACTAGCAGCTCTGGTCTAACTGCGCACGTGCACCGAGGCTGCAGCGCCTGTAGTGCTTTCTTATGGAAGGCGTTTGAAGCTCTCAGAAAAATTCAGCATCACTGTTAACATGAATTACAGGTTTTTGCAGTGTAGCTTATCTAAACAGTGGTGCATTATTGGTGATTGAATTTTAGTGCTTGATGTTGTCGATTGAGTACACCCATTGTGTGTGTTGCTATTGATTCGTGGCCCGCTGCACAGCCGGGGCTGGAGTGTATCAAGGAGAGGCTGTGGCAGGAGACTGTCCAGAGGTATGGAGTCAAGAAGGAGTTTGTCAAGGCTGAGGCTGACACCATGAGGGAAGTCCTCGCTGAGCTCAGGAAAAGGTACTCTCTACAAACACTAACAGTGTATGTGTAGTTGCTAGTCTAGGCCCAAGTCCTTACAATTCACTGAAAACCTACAAGAGTGTAATCTAGCATGCATTTGAGGAATGTTCTACAGTGGGGGGGTGTGGTGGTGGGCTTGTTTGCAGAGGACCCACAGCAAATTGATCCGGGCATGGGTTTGTTTCTCATTGCTTCACTGCCCATGACTTTGGTATCATGCACATGGTAGTATGTATAATATACAGACATGCTGGTATATAGTTGTCTTAAGGGTTAACATTCAGGGGAGGGTACACATAGGGCAAAGTAAGACATTGCCCCATTTTGAATTTGAGTTTCTATGAAAAAACATGTTTATAGCATACTAGCTAAAAGAACTATATGTACGTACTTCATTATTTGACTAGAAATGCGTATGTGCCTAACGCAGGCTGACCACCCATGCGTGCACACAAATGCTTTGCTGATATTGTTGTATATACCTCATGTAACTGCCGTAGTTTCACTCCGGCTGGCATATTAAGTACATGACCACTATTGAGCCCTAAAACCTGCCTCGCGGAAAACAATAGATACTCTTCCTTATACTTTCGCTTATTTCCAATCCCTTTCTAACAAACGTATGGTGGCAAGGATTATTTGCCTTGCACGCAGGGCTGCGTAGATCCGCGGTTTCTCTGTTGACATGTGTACATGATTGCCACCAGATGCCGACATCACAGGCGTAATTAAACAGGTTAATCATTCCACACATACTTTTGCTTAGTTTAAAAGGACTATTGCATTTCATGAGATAGTATAGGCTTTTGTCACCCCAGAGAAACTATATTCCACTGAACCTGTTAAAAACGCCAACGTGAATGGTCCTGGAAATAGTGCTATAAGTTTTTGTTTGTGACGAACTGTATTCAGGTTGCTTAGCCATATCAGCTGTCTAGTCATGCATTTGGGCGGTTTCCTTTACAACTGTTTCGGAATCCCTTTTTCTTTTAGCAATACCCACCCCAAAACCCTCTCAACATTTCCATTATATACCCCCTTGAAACGGTAATGAAACACTGATGTCTGTTTTTCAACACTCTCAACCTGCTTTTGTACTGCTATTAGGAAAGTGGCTATCCATAGCCTGCACTTTGAACACTCTTTTAAATATCTTGGCATCGTTGTCCTGGTTGCTGCTGGATTGCTAGATACGCACTCGCTTCCTGTTTACACTCTGTGATTCAGGAAGTCTAGCCAGGGAATAGGTTTCTCTATAATATGGTATTGAGAGTTATCAGTCCCTGTTGCAACATCCTGTGCAAGTCACAGAGGGTCTTTAGAGAACAATTGGCAAGATGATGCATTTTGGTGTAGTGGTTTGTGGCAGTCTTCAGAACATGTAACCTCACGTAGTAGTATCCAACAGAGTAACTACTTTTATTCCCAGCCCTTACCGTAGCATGGCTGGTAATCCGTAATGCACAATGCAACATACAAGAGCACACTCAGATGCGAAAGTGCGTAACATATTTTAAAAGTTAGACCGACAAATTTGCCTGTCCAATCCCTTCACATGTGCCGACAAGTGAACCTCAAACAGCATAGTAATAGCGAACCATAGAAATTCTACACGCATTAGAAACCCATACAATGGTTTGCTGGGGAATGATGTATTGTACGTATGCAAAGTTTCAGAGTATAACCCGGCAGATTTGACTTGTATTGTGACCCAATTGAACGTTGGCAGTGCTCCCACATACATTTCTTTAAGCCTATCATCACATCTGGAGGTACATGATTGTTTATGTGGCATAGCACATCTTCCTGGGTAGTGGTTTATTGTGTTTCTCCATGAGCTAACGGCTGTTTTCCTCAAATTCAACTATGTTGTTAACTGTTCCGGTGAAAGTTTACCTGCCAAGCATAAGCGTCGTCAGTTTACCTGTGTGTGATTCATAGTTTCTTCAGCTTTGTTATTCATCCCAAAGGGTACATGAACTATGATCCCACACAATAAGTTCATATGTATAGTCCATACTTAATGCGATGTCAACAGGTGACACCAGTTTGGTGACCTTCACGGGTGCTGTTGTTGTCCTTGGAATTTGGAAACTTTTGTACACATATCATGTGAGAGGCTTGTGGACTTTAATACTCGCAATGGAGTTGAAATAATTACACAATGTATATGCTGAGTGCAGTTTCACTCTCACTCACCTAAAAATGCATTGCGCTCACAGACTACAAGAAACTCTCAATATGCAACATTCCAATATTGTGAGTCAGTGTATAGGGTTGTTGACTACATTCCAATATGAGTTGATGTACACTGATTTTTAATGCATGAATTGAAAAATGGTACTGTCAAATTGGGTTGACATAGTTCTGAGATGGCCAGCTGGATATTTTGTGGCAAAGCGCTCTGCAACTGATGTGGGAGTGACCAACACCACACACTCTACTATATACTGTATCTATTCCAGCTTTGTATATAGCAGACTTGGCGTGTCTCAGTCAGCTATGAATACTAGAGGAATGCAATGGATTCATATTTGACGCATGTTTTGCGCGTATTTAGAATAACTTAGAACATTATGGTATGTAGGTAGGTTCTCTTCGCTGACCAGTTATTATCACCCATTTATGCCACTGAACTTTTAAAACTAGTATTAGTTTCTATATTGACAGGCACATGATTATAAAATACGCACGAAAATTTATGCTCGCTGACTAAAATGCATTGCTAGATAAAGGTTCTATGTATCTTACCGTTGAGGTTCTGATAGAAAACTCTGCTGTGAAGTGCCTGAGATTATTCTGTATCATACAATTGTGATTAATGTCTTTCTGAACTTTTCCCATCTGATGAAGATTGAAATGTGTCCACACATTGGCATATGATGGTGAATAACTGGGTTATTGGACAACAACCAGGGTTAATGTTTTACTGCCCTTTTTCACCAGGTATGGTGGTGTGTGTGAGTATCTGGAGTCTGCAGGATTCACTGATGAAGAACAAGAGAAGCTGAGAGCTATTTTCCTCTACCCCCAAGGAACATAATGGGATTTTTATGTGATTTTTGTAGAAAGAGCTGACGCTATTGTTTAAGATTACGTAATGCGCCATTTGGTTCGCGCGCTCGCGTATGCGCGCGCGCAGTAGGCGTGGTGACCGGGTAATTTCTCGACCGTTCTTGCACGTTTGATAAAACTAACTTCTCAGCTGGCGGCTTCTCAGTCGACCCCACCTAGCAGATCCGCAGTAGAGTTAGATTCGGTGATATTACTCAGCACAGATGGAAAGCACGGTGCATCTCCTCGGTCATAAGCTGTTTGTGGCCACCATCCCTAAAGACGCAAGTGTCGGATGTCACACACTCTCTCCTCAGATTGCTACTGAGACTCTTCAATGGTGAATCAACCAGACGGTAAGCCATCCTTCAACCTGTTCTTATCTGATCCGTTCCATGACGGTACTGAGAGTTCCGTAGATCGTCCTACGTCTGTATTTTAGTGTGGAGATGCTGGTGTACCGTGTGTTTTGTCTTTCTTTAGAAATAACTTCTTCAGTTTCTCTGATACAAGCACGGATTACAGCCTCGTCCTGGACAAAGAACTATTGGAAAGTAAGTACAAAAGTCTGAGAATAGCAGCTGTAGACCATGTATAGTGTTGTCTGGTGTCAGGTGCCAGTCAGCCCCTTTCGGCAAGCATGTTTTCGTGTAGGGTATTGTTTGGCATCATAAGACTGTATTGCTTCAACGATACACAATTTGCGTACTTTGCAGTATTGAAGAGCCATGGTAGTGGGCACCATGTCCATGTGGCTGAGGGTACATGGCGGCCCCTGGTTGTGGAGGTGGGTGCCCTGGGGTCGGTGACTGGAGTCAGTAAGATAGCAGCCAGTGTCATTGCTCCTCTGGCCGACCACAACGTGTCCGTCTTCTGCGTCTCCACCAACCAGGACGACTATGTTCTGGTGAGTTCCATTCTCTGCAACACGTCAAATTCCCAAGTGTATGCTGCGCGTTAGGTCCTAGCCATATCACCTATGCATGTATGTGGTGTGATCTGTGTATATGGCTCATGAATACTGGTACATAAGTCTGGTGTTGTCTTCTACTCTGCTGCATCTCAATCTCTAGTCTCGTACCCAGCCGCCCCACCCTCTAGGGAAAGGGCATCTGGTACAGTTAAATAAGATGTAAAACTCAGTAGTATCTGACCTGGTTTACTGCCTGTGTGGTGATTAACCCTGGGGGTTGATGAAGGGAAATAAGACACTTAGTGTTGCGCAAGCACTAGAATGCATTAGGCTGTCAAAGTACTTTTTTCTCTAACTATCTGGTATACCTGTTATTGAGCTTCAGTGGAAGGCATGTTTCACTGCTGTTACGTACGGGTCAGTGTATGGGTGAGCATTCCTTAGTGTTGGCTGTTGCTGGTTTGGATACAAACAAGCGCCATAGACTGTATACATGTGGCAGCCCTGAAAACAGCCAAGGTCGTGTGTTGTCTGCAACAATTAACTACATAACATGATAGGGTGCCCTCCACATTCTCTGCTGACACCTGTACATGATGCAAGAGCCAGAGACGTGCAGGCTACTAAATTGAAGCATTAGAGCCCATATCCTTCCTCCTTCACTGTGTGTGTGTGTGTGTGTGTGTGTGTGTTTGGCTTCCTGCTTCCTCCCTACCAATGTGAGGGCTCCTTATCTCCCACTGCATCCTCTGGATAACACTGCTACACATCCTTTGGTAACCCTGCTACATCCCTAATGAACACAGAGTGGGACATGATTGATACACAGTAAAAGAGTAAAAGATTTTTAGGGTTTGAGTCACGGTGGGCCATGAGCCTTTCAGTGGCCAAATTGGTATATACTAATCTGGTGCTGGTACTAAATGTGGTGTAATTGTGGAAGTATGTTTTTCTGATGCAATATTGGCCCCTGATGGCAGTCAACAGCTGTACGTCATGTGTAGGCAGCTACGTAAATACTCTAAATGCACTTTTCTTCTTGTCATAGTGCCGTTGTACGTATTACACGTACATTTCAGTCTAGTAACAACAACCTTAGTATTACAGGCAGTGTGCATTCTGAATGCACCAAATGAGATCATGGAACCAGTTAACCAAAATTAATATCAATTCAATGAAAGTTGAAGTCATCGTGTACACCTGTGTGTCGTTGCCAAATGCGGGACTAGTTCGATGTAGGGTGATGCTGGTGTTTGTTGCTGTACTCAATAGGTCCGGGAGCAGGAACTGCACAAAGCCCTGCGCTGTCTCTCGGGAATGTTCAGAATTGTCAGTGATTCAGAGACTCTGCGTGACCAGTCCCTGGTTGAATCTGTCATCAGCAAGACAACTGTTTACCCCAGCCCTGCCTCCCATCTGAAATGTGAGGGACCCTTATTATAATTGGATCATGTTCGTGGTGGGTGCTATAGAGACGTAAGCATGAACAGCAGCTGTGTTTGAGAGTACACTGTGTGTACTTCAGGCAAGACATGGTTAGGGTACTCATACACAAGACCACTGTCCTTCGCCAGCCCTAATGAACAGTCACACACCGTGTCTAGTAAAGCTCAGGTTACAACCCAACAGTAACTAGTGCCCCCCTGTTTTCACTATATCCCCCTCTCACTCCATATTATAGCTATCATGCACCCGTGTGACCCTGTCCCACGTCCCATCGTCCACCCGTACATTTGCTCCAAGAGCAGCTTCAACATCTGCAGCATCGTCCCACAAGCCCTCCCCTCTGTCGGGATGGTCCTACTCGATCTCATGCTCTATAACAAGAGGTAAGCACCCGTGAAGGTCACCAGATGTCACTGCCTCTAAGTATAGGAGCTTATGTGTAGTCCAATATATTACTGCTATATGTGAATGTGGGTAATAAGATATTTATTGCTCGGGATCATAGTTCATGTACTCTCTGGAACATTGCCCCAAATGAATAGGTGTATACAACAAGTCACATTTTAAAAATCACATGGCTAGCGTGTCGAGATTAGGAATGACCGAAAGAATTTAATTAACCTCCTCCCGAGGCCAAAGTTTGGGACAATACATCACAGCAAAGTTTGAACTATGCACATCTGCAATATACTGCACGACCATTGTATGCAAGGCAAAACATTACAGCCCAGACACACTACATTAAGTTTGCCCCATGGTACGGCAGTGGACCTCTCTGACACCTGCAGGTCTACAGTGGATGGCTCGTTTTTCTCTCTGTCCATCGTTGATGACGACATCTCCATGGTCATTGACTGCAGAGACGTTGACAGGTTGGTTTACCTGTTACACTGTTGTATACTTCAAGAGCCTCACTACTCTCAATGTGTATGTAACTGTAGATTCCCTGAGGGCTCTCTCTACCACACTGAAGGCACCTGGAAACTACTCAGAATTGGAGAAGGGCCTCTGGGGTTTGGTGAGTGTGTAATTATCCTTTTGCTCTTGGACAATGCACACCATAATGCATGCCAGTCATAATGAATTAGACACATTAGCTCACTTCTTTAGAGCCACTTATTGCCCAGTGAGGACCAAGGATTTTGTGAGCCTGCTTCTGAAAGCCGTCTGCTTTCTTTGATGAGCATGCAAGGTGTCAAATTTACACCACACGATTATTGAGCAAAAGAAAAGAGCTTATGGGTCTACTCCAATAACGTTAAAGCGACTGTGTTGATGACGTTTGTGAGGCTGTGTATAATTCCCTGCAGATGAGTGTGGGATAGTGGCACAGGTGTCTGCTCCCCTTGCCCATGCTGAAATATCCACCTACTACATCTGTACCTACTTCACCGATCATACCCTGGTGAGCCAGTGTAACTACAATCACCCCTAATGTACCAATACAGGCAGCCATTACTACCTGTGCACCATGTGTATATAGAATGTTATCTAGCCAATTAGTATTGGATGACAAAGATCGGGAGTGATTTTGTTTCCTATTTCTCTCAAACATGTAGTTATTCAACGTTAGGGACTGGATGAGTGCCATCCACAGATACACAGTCCGAGGCCACATGGTAAACACACCACCATTCAGCTGTGCTCTGAGTACTGAATCCTACACCTGTGGTACACTCACTGAGCCTGCTGCTGTGGCTACAGTGACTGAGCCATTCAGCCTTCAAGGAAGGAGAGAGACTGTTTGTGTGGCATGGTGGCATCTCAGGGTTCCCTATTTCCTGCCACAATATATAGCAGTCTCGTGCCCATCCTGCACAGTATTTGATTCGGCACGTCTGATAAAGCAGTCACCATTTTCCTCCCCCAAGAGTGTGTTCTGGGCACCCCAGTCACTGCCCCTGTCAATGCCACACAACAACCAGAGTCTTTACCTTCCTTGAGACATAATGTGTAATTATTGCCCAGGATACTGGGGTTTTGCTAATTATTGTTTCCCCTCTCTTTCCCTGCTTGGGCAGCTTCCGGAGAACACCATTGGCAAGGCCCTCAGATTACTCCACGAGAGACTGTCGTCAAAGATATCAAATGAAGTGCATGTTGGGACAGAGGGAATGGTCGCCAGTGCAGTGGAGACAGTCCCGGCAGACTCACTGTTAGAAAATGGACTCCACGCCTCTGCTGTGAGACTTGGTTGCGATGGACTGAGCCTCAGTGCCGTTAATGGTGTAGAGTCTAACGGAATTCTCATAAATAGCAGTATCTAGTTGACAATGTGATCTCTGTTATGAAATTATTATGCATCCTCACTTTTATGTCAGTTTATGAATATGTCTGTGTGTGATATCAAGTTATTTGTTTCCATGGACAAACCAATCTACCCACCTTAGACTCTCATATGGGACTTTATGAGAAAGACAAAAGACGCTGCTCTCTAAAACTTTCCCAACTGGTATAATTATTATTACAATTATTATCATGATAAGCTGGTGGGTATATATAGTCTGGTACTGGGTATATAGTGAGTGTTCAGCACAGACTCCGATGATTCCAAGTATAGAGACTATTATATATATTGAAGCTAATAATAATCAGTTTTTTATCCAGTAATTTTATCATTTTGCAATGAACAGAGTATTGAACAGTCATAAGCTAGCTAGCTCTGCCCTAGTTCAAGTTCAAAGTTCATGTTTGAATGGCCCGCCCGGGCATGACATGTATACAGTTAAAAAACATGTAGGAAGCATAACACATGACTGAAGAAGGTGGGGTCCATGGTAGTCAAAGAGTCAAGTAGAGTGCATCAGGAGTTGTCTCTCTAACTCTGATTCGCACACATCCAAATTTATACCATGGTTAGCAAGACGGTTCATGGCGACAATTACGAGAAACAAACCACTAGTGGGAGGGATATAAGGACCCCTTTTGACAGAAGATATGGATCTTCAACCGACTGGCGACTTGTATCTGGCGAACATCAGCGCCTCCATTTTCCCGCGTGTCCACGTAAACCCCTACGGACATCAAGCGCATGCGCAGATTTATTGTGGGCGGGGTAGATTCGTTACCAATAGCAACGCTTTCTTTTGCTGCTGATCTGGTCACTAACTGCTCGACTCTGATATTTCATGGCTACTGCTGCTGATCACCCACTCTTACTGCACCCGGGGAAGGCTCCTACTCAGCTTAGATTCCGGTCGCGGGCCGTTGGATCCGCCGAGACTCCTCTGTCGTCTATCACTCCGCACGATGACCCGCTGAGGATCCTCGCCCCTGCTCAGAAGAAACTCAACACCATCGATTCTCAACGTGTCCTGGCTATTGTCAACGATACTTCTCGGCGGCTGGAATCCGCACTGATCATTCCGTCTCTGGTGGCGGTGGAGCACCACCTCTCCGTCCCTCTAGGCTCGGAACTAATGTCTCTTCTGCAGGAATACAAAGGCGCAATTTCTGAGTTATCCACCCTCCAAAAGACAATAGAAGGCTCTTCATCGTTGCTTGCTTGTAGCTTTCCCAGTAACTGTAGTAGTGTCAAGAGCGCGGAGTTAGAGAGTGGGCTCCTCCCAGTGAGTAGCATGGAAGAGAGGAGACTGCACTGCCTACGGAACACAATTCGACATTGTGTCAAGTCAATCCTCAGAGCACTGTCCACGAACCCATCCATCCTCCAGGGAGTTCACCGTGAGAAGGTCCTATCCCATGCCAAACTGATGGAGGGTTTCCAGGGGCTGTGCTCTGTGTCCAATGAGATGCTGCTCACGACCAGGACAGAGGAGGTGAAGAGGAAGGAGCACCTCCAGCTAGTGGCGGCTAGAAGACTCTCCATGGAAGAGAATATCAACAAACTGGAAGCTGAGCTCACAGTTGCTCAGTCACAGAAAGATAAAGAGGTATGATTGCTTCACAAGGAATCACATATTATATACCTACCAGACAATGTTTGAAGGTGTCTGAGATGCAGCTAAAAGTATGGAGCTTCCAACATACAATAGCATAATAATCTTCACACAAGGATTGTTTAAACCCCAAACCCACCTGACTACAAATCCTGTTCTTGATGACATTATGGCTTATATGCCTACTTGTATAGGTATCAGAGAAGAGAAGTCAAATCAATCAATTGCGTGGTACAGTCATGTCTGTGGCGACCGCTGCACAAGACACAGCACGGAAGATCCACTCTGAGGCCAAGAAGCAGCAGAGCCAGGCAGAAACAGCTCACTCCACCACCAAGACCAAGCTGGAAGAGGAGATTGGCTCTGTAAAGAAACAGCTGCAGGACTCTGTGGCAGAGGACAAGGAGAGAGAGCAGGAGACACGAAAGGTTTGTCAGTGCACATTATAATGCAGAATAATGTATGCATAATGTTGTTCTTCATAGAAAACCTTCAAGAGAGAACTTGAAGTGGAGAACTGGATAAAGAAGTACGATGAAGAGATGGGAGAGAAGCAGGTGTGGTGGAGCTTGTGTGTTCCTGGGTTCCATGTGCTTGCCACACATGCACCTCACTTTCTGCAGGACGAGCTTGAAATGTTGGAAGAGCAGTTTACGGAAGAGAAGAAGCAGTTAAAAGAGCTGGAAGAGAAACTCGGGGTAATACAACATTGGAGTATCACAGATCCTCAATGGACTCCTTTGGTTTCTGTTTTCCCAGATTCTGAAGCTAAAGTACGATGCGGCCATAAAGGAACAGGAGGAGGCTCGGCTGAAAGCAGAGCAAGAGGCGCAGGAGAGGGAGAGAAAGACAAAGGCTGCTTCTAGAATCCAGAGATGCTGGAGGGCTCACCATAAGAGAAAGCTGGAAGCTAAGCTGGCCCAGAAGGGCAAGAAGAAAGGGAAAGGCAAGGGAAAGGGGAAGAAGAAAAACTGACACATAACTTACATACAGCTTTTTTGGACTCTGACAAAATCATCTGTTTGCGATGCGCATGCGCACATAGCTGCATGGCGCCAATTAGCCTCGCGGAGCCACTCCTTCTCAATCCTCTCCCGAGAAGGCGTGGCTCCACGAGGCTCTAATTGGCGAGCGGGAGCGAGCTAACCTAGTGGCATATACGAACGGCACGGAATTTTCCTCATAATTGGCGAGCGGGAGAGAGCCAACCTAGTCGTTCGTTCGAGCGGAATTTTCTGTATTATTATATACTAGTAGGCGAATGCATGGCATTTTTGGCGAGCGGAAGCGAGCTTACAAATGGGGTCTAATCGTATGAGTCACTCTTGTGTGTGCGCAAAACAGTGAGATACATTGCACAGGACCAAGTAGGCCGAAACAACCTTTTAGACCAGAGCGCAGTAGACAATTCGAGTCGAGTCAAAAACAGTCAGACGACAGCGCGAATCAGGTATAATCCGGCAATCTGATTGGTCTTGCAGGAATAGGGAACAAGTGGCAATGTAGAAAAATCTCTCTCGTCGCTGGACTGTGCAGCAATTCTCGATTCGGAGGTGTTCGAGCCTGTCGTGTTGCGTTTCCTCTGATTCCGCTCGATTCAGGCAGCATATGAAAATTTTGAAATCCCTTTCGGATAAAAAGAAACGCGTACTGCTGGAGCATGCGCAGTTGGACGACGTACGGTGACATATTATTGGCGAGCGGAAGCGAGCTAACCTAGTGGTCCGAACGGCGCGATTTTTCTATATAATTATATATATTTATATATATATATATATTATGTACCAGTACGTCGTCCAACTGCGCATGCTCCAGCATTAAGCGCTTCTTTTTATCCGAAAGGGATTTCAACATTTTCATAATGCTGCCTGAATCGAGCGGAATCAGGGGAAACGCAACACCTCCGAAGCTATCGAGTATTGCTGCACAGTCCAGCGAGAGATTTTTCTACATTGCCACTTGTTCCCTATTCCTGCAAGACCAATGAGATTGCCGGATTATGCCTGATTCGCGCTGTCGTCTGACTGTTTTTGACTCGACTCGAATTGTCTACTGCGCTCGGGTCGTTTCGGCCTACTTGGTCCTGTGCAATGTATCTCACTGTTTTGTGCACACACAAGAGTGACTCATACGATTAGACCCCAATTGTAAGCGCGCTTCCGCTCGCCAAAAATGCCATGCATTCGCCTACTAGTATATATATATAATATAGAAAAATCGCGCCGTTCGGACCACTAGGTTAGCTCGCTTCCGCTCGCCAAGACCGTCGTACGTAGTGTAAGTGCGCATGCGCAGCTTTGTACGCGCTTCTTTTTATCCGAAACTAACTTCAAAATTTTTACACATTTTCTCACATGGTGCCCCGCCGATCGATCTAGCCAGCTACAGAACTCTCCTCCATTCGACGGCATGCGCTGCAACCTTCGGTGACTGACCTCCCGATCTTCATGGGGATCAACTGTAATATACGGACCAATAGCGCAACGCATTCTACGTCTGTTCTAGGGGGCTGTGGGGATCTAGGCTAGGTATAGGCAAGGGCGAGGGGCTAGGGCTAGGGGGTAGAGCTAAGGGGACATGCACAAAGCCCACGGAACGCAGGACTGGACCTGGTGTCTCCGTTCGGTTGTTTCCGTGTCTCCGTGATCACGTCGAGCGACAAGTGAGAGAAAGATGAAGATTTTGCTGTTGCTGGCAGCGCTGTCTCCAGTGTGCCTGGCAGCCGGCGACTGCGTAGGAGTTCTCGTTGGACGGGCAGGAATGCACAGGACGGATCACGGTATGCCCATACTCCGGGTTGGATATGCGTGCGGACGTACGTACGTACGTCTGTGTCGGTCACGCTTAAGAATGCCAATTAGTGACGTTTAGGGAATGTCAAATAGTCACGCTTAGGAATGTCAATTAGTGACCAAAGGAAGTGTAACCTCCGTCATTCGTAGGAAGTCTAGCTTCCGCCGTGCGCGCGCAGATTCATAGGAAGTCTGGCTTCGCGCGCGCGCACAGTCAGTAGAGCGCACGAGCGGCCTCAGTCGGACTGTTTACGCATTGGCTGGCAGGCGCGAGGCAAAATATGCCCGTGCGCATTCCTGTCTGTGTATACTGTTGGTAGTAAACACCCCCTTACTGCCCACCGTCTGCTAATGGAGCCAGGCTTTCAGTGTGGCAGTGTCATTGATGGTTTTGGTTGATGGTTTGTGTTCAGGGACCTCCCGCAAGTGTCTTTTGTGCAGTGTACAGGACATATAAGCAGCTATGATCGCAGATTCACGTACGTGAGCGCTCGCGTCGCCAATAAAAGCCGAGCAAAGACTAAGCTTTGATTAGTTGGAGGAAAAACTGTTCAGTACTGTGAGTACTTAGCTATGTGGGCAGTAATAGCCATCATTATTTATTGGTCCTTGAGTATCTCAACAGTCTCAGCCTGCACAGACTGTATCATCGTTAACAGCAAAACTGGACACGATAATTCTTCATGCCTGGAGGAAACATCAACGTTTTACTGCAGGACACTTGGATATGTTCTCACTAATGCTGCCTCTCTCAATAACACTGAAATAATCTTGTTTGGAGACCACTCCATCACCCAGACTCTGACAGTGTTTCGAGTAGAAGGTCTCACGATACGAGGAGGTGGAAAAGTGTCTTCCATTATTACATGCGCCCATTCATCCCATGAGAATAACCAGGGATGTGGGCTGCTAATCCACTTTGCCAAAAGGGTAAGAGTAATCAGTGTCATTTTTGAAAGCTGCGGAACGCTTCAGTTCAGCACGACAGTAAGAAACTATAGAAATGTTAAGTATCGTTCTGCTGTCTACATCATCAACAGCACGGATATTCAGTTCATTGAAACAGGTTTCCACAAGAGTATTGGCAGAGGAATATCCATGCATGATGTGGATGGTAATGTTGAAATACGTGACAGTTCATTTAAGGAAAACATGGTCCTGCCAAATGATACTTTGGTGTTTGGTGGAGGAAGCATTTATATTGAATTCACTTACTGTTCGCCAGGCTACTCAAGATGTGATCCTGATTCTAACACTCACAATAAGAACAGCAGGTACTTGATCGAGGGATGTGTGTTTGAAGGCAATAGAGCCTCAAATAAAGAAGTCACACAACAGACGCACATTGTCCAGTTCCGCATCTTGCCAGGTAGCGATGGCAATAATGCAGGCCAAGGAGGCGGGCTTCATGTCATTATCAAGGGTTCAAGTTTCAATAACACGGTGATAGTTCAGAACTGTACCTTTCACAACAATTCAGCTCTCTGGGGAGGAGGAATTGATGCAATATTTCTGGACAGGGCTAGCAACAACACTTTCCAAGTTAACCAATGTATTTTCAGTAATAATCGTGCCCCAGATAGAGGTGGGGGTGCCCTGCAGTTAGGATTTTTGGGAGCTGAAGGCATAGCTCAGAACAGTATTGTTGTGGAAAATACGAAATTTGTCGAGAATTCTGCAGGGTGGGGAGCTGCTATCGCATTCTTCTCTAGTCGATCAAAAAGCAATTTAAACACCAGATTAACTGTCACTAACTGTGTTTTTGAGAATAATTCGGCACCCATAGGGGCGGCTGTACATCTGAAACCGGAGGCACGACAGTCCATATACGAGGGTCGCACACCAGTTGCAAAGTTTTCTAACTGTAATTTCACTAAGAATAAGGTCCTCTACACAGGATCCTTTCTGAACATCGCTAATGATGAAATATCTCAACATGTTCTGGAGTCTGGAACAGTAGACATTGAATCACTCGAAATTGATTTTTCAAACTACGTTTCGTTCACTGATAACCAAGGTAGTGCCATTGTGGCCAATTCCGCTCAGGTGAACGTGTTGGAGAACACTAGATTATATTTTGTGAATAACACTGCCACAAATGGTGGAGCAATGGCTCTACTTGGTTTCTCGGTCCTGGAGCTCCACCCTGGGTCTCAGGTGCTGTTTGAATCAAATCATGCCAGTGAACTAGGTGGAGCTGTGTATGCCACTTCACCTCATCAAACTGAGTTCATATTCTCCCACAAGTGCTTTATCTCATTCAGAGGCGAAAATTTCAACGACCCTGACAAGTGGAACACGACACTGACATTTGTCAATAATTCTGCAAGGTACGGCTATGTGATCTTCACCGACTCAGTCCTTCCGTGTGTGAAACAGATTGGAGCAATATATACCAACATATCAGCAGCGTTCCAATGGAACTCATTCCAAATTACTCCGAGTATTGGAGAATACACAATAGCCACCAGTCCAGCTGCCATTAACTTTACTCTCCCACAGGAAATATCCCCAGGAGAAATGATCAGTGTCCATCCAACATCAGTGGATGATCTTAACCAATCCATTCCTATTGCATTCAAAGTCATCCTTGGCAGCTTTGGAGATACAGTTGAAACTAATCCCTTTATTGCTGATGATGGGCATTTGAAAATCAATGGAAAACCTGGAACGCAATTTACCCTTACTCTTCTAACACAAAACACTCGACACGTTTCTTCCACTCAGAGTGGAAGATTGGGGGACTGCCCTCTTGGCTTCGGACTGGTTAACAATTCAGTGTGTGTCTGTTCTGCTAGTTTACCTCACAGAGAGTATGTTGGGGTGATAGGCTGTGACTTCGTCAACTTCCGCGCATTGCTTCAGGTTGGCTACTGGATAGGATGCAGTGAAACCAAGCGTGTCGTGACTGGTGTATGTCCTTTGAACTTGTGCAGCTACAAAACCCGTTCAGTGCTGCCCATTTCAAGGACTTGTGACGGTCTGAATGAGGAAACAAAAATCTGTGTTGAAAATAGAAGAGGACAGCTTTGTGGAGAATGTGAAAACGGATACTCTGTTTACGCACATTCTGATAAACTACACTGTGGAAAGTGCCCACACGGAGCAGTGGGGATTCTTGCATTCCTAGCTAGTGAAATTGTTCCACTCTTCTTACTCTTTGTTGGCATAATGGCAATGAAGATAAAGATCACATCAGGATTTGCACAGAGCTTCTTACTGTTTGCGCAGTCATTTTTCCTAATCAACCACGCCCCTTCATTACGACCACTCTCGGATACCAGTTCGATACTGCTTAGAATCCACACATTTATTATTGGATTCTTTAACTTGTCATTTTTTTATCTGGATGAAATGTCCTTCTGTCTCTGGAGAGGAGCAACTGCACTGGATGTCGTTGCATTTCGCTATGTGTCAACTTTTTCAACCGTTCTTTTTCTTGCTATCTTTATTCTCGTAGTTAAGAAAACGAAAACTCACAAACTTGAATCCTCCTGCTTTCTGCTTGCTAGATTTCAAGGAATGATAAAAAAGATGAAGCTTTTTAAAAACTCCGTTGTTCACGGAATTTCTACATTTCTCATTCTCTCCTACTACCATTACACGACCACATCATTTCAAATCTTGAATCGGAGTTCAGTGAACGGCGAAGGTGGTGTGAATGTTAGGTCTGTGGCCTTTATCCAAGGTAGTGTTGACTATTTTGGACCCCACCACCTCCCATATGCCATTCCAGCTTTGCTAGTGTTGATATTCCTCTCTCTTCCTCCACCTCTTCTGCTCATCTCTTACCCACTGCTCTGGAAGGTCAAAGCAAAACTGAGACGTAGTAATGCGGAAAATGAAAATGACACAACTCTGTGGCCAATTCGTAAACTTCTACCCCTCATTGACTCATTCCAGGGAGTGTTCAGAGACAACTGCCGTATGTTTGCTGGTCTCCTATTCCTGTGGAAATTGGTTCTGAGTGCCATCGTTGCATTGTCGACGGATTTGACAGAATTATTCCTTCTGATCGAGATTGCACTTCTCAGCATTTTGACCATCCATGCTCTGGTGAGACCATACAAACGAAGACTGTACAATGTTGTTGATGGAATGATGCTGGCCAACATGGCACTCATTAACTTGCTTAAATGGTATGTGTCAGTGCCATCAACTAGTGACATAAGCAGCCAAGTTGTTGAACTACTTGTCACAATACAACTGTTCCTACTGTATCTTCCTTTGATTTGTGTGGGAGGATACACCGTTTTTCGGCTTTTGAAAAGATTTCGTGTCATCCCCGATGAGCTAAAGTTTTCCTTGGCTGAAGAAGGAGCATCAATTGCCGGTAATAATGGTGTGAAAAGAAAGGAGACATTTAAGCGAAGAGAAACGTGTGAAGATGAGGATCTGTTTAGCCGTGCAGCAGAGCTCAATACTCTACCCAGCAAGAATGTGACATGCAGTGAGGCTGGGATTGAAACCAACAATACCACCATATCAACCCTGGGCACTGACTGAACACAGACATGTTTTCCGAGATGAGTCTGTTTTCGTAGATTTAAACATACCAGCAGTAAATACCATGTAATCACCCTTAATTCGTTTTTAATTTTTGTATTAAATTTTGCTTACTTAATCAGGTGCTTTTTGCTGACTTATGTTTATTTCATGCTAATTATGCTTAGTTGTGTGTTTACACAGCCAAGGCAGTTATTGCACTCTGGCTAAAGAACGTTTAATAACAACCATATAAACCATATAGGGAATATTTTATACACCATAACAACCCTGGGCACTGACTGAACACAGACATGTTTTCCGAGATGAGTCCGTTTTAGTTGAGTTTTAACAGCAGTTTTTCCACCGAGTCAGTGTTGCTTATTATTCCGCGCATGCACACACACCATCGTAATGCAGAGGACAATGGTTGCAGAACATTATATCTATTGTATAAATGATCAGTTCCCGCACTGTATGCAGAGACCACCGTTGTTACACATCCATTTTACTAGGGTTTCTGACTTGGTGTGGATGGTTCCAATGAAACTCACAAAGCATTTCCTCATCGAACCCTACAACACTTTCATTATGAAAGTTAACTTGTCCTTTCCTCATCACATTTCAGGTTATTGCAACTTTCGTCATGCTAATGAAATTACCATGGGCAGACAATGAATGTTGCCATATCGCAATAGGCAAGTTATTTTGCGCAGGAAAGTGCGAGCATAAGCAGCAGTGGCTGAGGTAAGAACCAGAGACCGCCTGTTTACCTAAAACCGCCCTTAGCCACCCAGACGCGCTATCCAATGTTCAGAGCGGAGAATAGAAACTACGTTATTGTATGCGGAGCAGCAGACACAGCGCGCGCGGGAGAAGTCCTGGCGGTGCATTGCTGTGTGCAAGACCAATCAGATTGCAGGATTTTCAAGTAAATCGGGTGTCGCGCGGAACGTGATTGGTTCGCGCTGGCTTCTTGCTGTTTTGACTCGAATAGTCTGCTGCGCTCGGGTCTTTTTCCCAGCAAGGAGTGCGACCCAATTGCCAAACGGCTGAACTTCCCATACACGCTCTCTCTGGCGCTGGCTGTGGGTAGGACTACGAGTCAGAAAGACTCTACAGTGACTCTCGGTACACTGTGGAGTCTTTGGCACTGGCAAAAATCTAGACTGAGTCTCGATCGAGTTGTGTAATACACCACACCCCCACATAATGTCAGTTTATTACCGATATTGTAACGCGACAAAACATTCCGAGAAGGCGTGGCTCCGCGATTCTAAAAGGACACCCTCCGGCTCAGATTCGCCCAAATTGCGTGGGAGACACTGTCGCAAATCGCGGAATTGCGCTGCTCGACGGGTCCCTGTGCTAGCGCATGGTCTTCCGACGCCCACCTCTTTTGCCACTTGCGCAGCAGAATTAGAGTAAAGAAGCTTTGTATTTCGCGCGTTTCACGCCCCTTTTTGGCTCTGGGCATGCGCAGTAACGCCACAGCTTGACGATTTTGCAGGAAATGAGTTCTTACAGGAAATTGTTATTGCCTAAACTTAGGGGGTGCGGTCTGAATGACACGTGACGGTGGTGTGATTCGTTTTCAAAAGCGAACGTTACGGATCGTTGTTTTTCCCCGCAGAGAGCAAAAGAATGGATTCCTCAAGGTGTTTTGGTGAGTACTATATGCAGTTTTACCTGCGTAGACACCGCGCACATATGCTGCCACGCTGTTTGCGCAGTTTACGTGTGTGTATGCTGCTGGGTTTTGTCCCACGTTGACTCGACTAGCGCTCGCTGCACGCTGTGTTCCTTTTGTAGCCCTGTGTTCATCTTGTTGCTTTATGACCCTAAGCATTCTCGCGCTGATCCAGAGTCGTTTGCCCTGTGGAAGGCCCTTTGTAGGCCTTATGTGTCCCTTGTGTTCTATCAGGACTTTTCATGTGTAAGTCACGTGATTTTGCCTTTGAATACGCTCAGCATCCCCCTTCCCCCCACCTACTAAGAGAATTGTCAAGCTGGCTGCTGCGGTTGGGAACCTCTCAGTATTATCTTAGGAACATTAACTTTTCCCACCAACACTGAATTAATGCTTGCTTTTGCCAGTTCTGAAGGTCCACCTTTCACAGTATATAACAGCCTTTTTACTCATTGTCAGAATTATCTTTCGGGTGCTTCTTTTCACACCTTACTTTCTCTTGACCAGCTGTTCTTTTTCTTTACCATTTTGTGTTTACCTTTCCCCTCTTCTGGATTTGTAAGTGTGTCCCCCATCCTCCTCCCTCCTCCCTCCTCCTCCTCCTCCTCCTCCCTCCTCCTCCTCCTCCCTCCTCCTCCTCCTCCCTCCTCCTCCCTCCTCCTCCTCCCTCCTCCTCCTC